CCGAACTTTTGTTAATATAATCGAAACTGAAGTCAAAAGGATTTTCTACTTGTTGTCGAACACTCTGTATAAGTTTTATTAGTGCAAAAATTTTACATTAAAATTTTTCAGGTAAAAAACAGTATCAATGTGATTATAAGGCCTGAATAGTATTATTCGTTGTGCTGCTTATCATAGGTAAATGTTAAAAAACTTTATTGTTTTAAACAATACGATATATTTTTAGTTAAATCAAGAAGATTGTAGTTCTTGCAGTATTATGAAAATAATTCTTATGTAGTTGATAATAATTAATAATTAAAATTTTGAAGGTGTGGAATTATGGCTACAAAAAAATTAGTTTATCCTGCGGCTAATCGTAATAAGGATCCGATACTCTCAGTTCTTCAAAAATATATTCAATATAGCCAAGATCAAATTTTTCTGGAAATATCATCTGGTTCTGGACAGCACATAGCTCACTTTGCTCCTTATTTTCCACAAGTGACCTTTTATCCATCAGAATACGAACCAAGATTGCTACACAGTATTTCATCATATGCAAATGAGTTTAAAAATATAAAACAGCCTTTAAGAATAGATATTACAACCAATTTTCGTAATTGGGGTAATGGTAGTTTTACAGAAAATAGCATTGATTATATATATAATGCAAATATGATGCACATTTCTCCTTATGAATGTACTATTGGATTATTTAAAAATGCTGGCAAATTATTAAAAGATAATGGTTTCCTTTTTACATATGGCCCATATGCTGTAGATGGACAAATAACACCAGAAAGTAATGTCAACTTTGATAAGTCTCTGAAATTTCAAGATCCGGATTGGGGTCTGAGGGATATTAGAGATTTGAAAAAGCTAGCTGAAGAAAATAATATTAAGCTAATAGATATTTTTGATATGCCAGCAAATAATAAAACTATCATATGGAAAAAATACTAAGTAATATTTAAATCACATTAAAATGAATAACACATAAATACAAGCATGATTCACAAATAATAAAATATTACGTAAAATTTAACACAGAATATTAGTTATATATTGTTGCAATATATGTTCATAATATTTATATTTATATGTTTTACTTTAAATATAATATAAAAACTATAGATTTATAAACATTATAATATTTATATTATAACTTAATATTATAAATATATTGTAAAATGTTTATATATAAACAAAAATTACATTACAATTAAATTTAAAGTTTTAATCACATTTGGAAAAAGTCTATATGTTCCAATCCTTCTGGTAAGTAACATAATCCAGATTCATCTTTTTGTTTCATATTGTAATTTTTACCATATCCTAAAATAATATGTATACATAATTGTATATATTTTGAAACTATGTTTTAATTATACATGTATTAGTGTAGTATAATTACCAAGATTTTTCATCAATTTTGTTGGGGCATTTCTTAAATGCAGTGGTACCCCTGGTTGAGGACCTTTATGTTCAGCAACTATTCTTTGAGCAGCTCTGAGTGCATCTTCCATTAATCTGGATTTAGGGGCTCTTGCTAAATATGTTGTACATTGTGCCAAAAGGACATCACACTCGGGCATTCCAATCATTTTACAACCATGCATTGTATGTATAGCAATTCCTAAAAACAATTTTTCAGAATGATTTTATTGATGAACTGTTTTGAATACCCATTTAACATTACCAAGAGCTTTTGGATCTTCCAAGCCAATATCTTCGCATGCCATCCTTACTAATCTCCGTGCAATATAAACTGGATCTTCGCCACCTAATATCATCCTAGTTAGCCAATATAGAGACGCATTTTCATCACTTGCTCTAACTGACTTATGTAAAGCAGAAATCATATCATAATGTTGATCGCCTTTTTTATCATACAACATATGACTCTTCTTAATACTCTCTTTAATATCATTTAAAGTAATTGTGACAGGGTCAGCTAAAGTTTCGTTTTCAGTTGGTACTTTACATTGAATTGCTAATTCAAGACCACCTAGTGCTATTCTAGCATCACCATCGCACGTTTCTGCTAACCACTCTATAGTAGGTTCGTCTATGATAAATTTTGGTATTTCCTTATTGTCCTCCAGGTTTTTTATTGAACTGAGTACTATTCCATCTAATGAAGACACAGCTCGATTTAATATAGATATTAAATTTGGCACAGATAGTTTCTCTAGAACAATCACTCTGCACCGACTTAAAAGAGCAGAATTCAAACTGAAGGAAGGATTTTCCGTTGTCGCGCCAATTAATCTAATGGTTCCAGATTCAACATGTGGTAAAAATACATCTTGTTGAGTTTTACTGAACCGATGTATTTCATCCATGAATACTACTGTACGTCTTTTGAATTTCAATTCATTACTAGCTACAGTGATAACTTCTTTTATTTCATGAACTCCCACCATTGCAGCAGACATCTTGATATATCTTATTCTATTATCTGAATTATTTTTGCATATGGATGCTATAACATTTGCTAAGGAAGTCTGAAATGAAATAAATTTGTATTTATTAAGAATGTAACAAATATCTGTATAATTGTGCATGCAAGAGCAGATTATGTTAGGCTTCTCAGTTATGTTAATATTCATAAAATTTGACAATATTATAATACGATTTGATTTTAATAATAAAATAATTAATGATATCATCCTAATGTTTCTATGCAGGGTATCCCTGAAAGGTGTGTACAAGCAGGCACCAGGTGATTCCTCATAAAAAAAAACATTAAAAAAAAATATAAAATAATTTTTTTTGTCTAAGACATAGTTTTAGATAAAATCGAGTTTGAAAATTTGTTATTCTATATTTTCTTCATGTTTTTTTATGAGGAATCACCTGGTGTCCACTTGTACATACTTTTCAATGACACCCTGTATATTATAGATAAAAATAATAAGTAACAGATAAACATATTAATAATCTATATTTAATAATATATGTATTGAAACAATTATTTAACTGAATTTTCTAGAAAAATAATTTATATTAAAAAAGTATTATTTAATCCATTTAATTTACATACGGCATCTTTGTATTTTTTGTCATATATTTTGTAGTCATTTGAAATTATTACATAACATTTTTAATAAATACCTTCCCACAACCAGGTGGGCCCCACAAAATTATATTTGGAATTTCAGTTTTCTGTAATAGTTGATAAAGTACACTGGATGGACCAAGAATATGTATTTGTCCAACATATCCTGAAAGTGATGTGGGTCTCATCCGTTCAGCAAGTGGAACATGATTGCTTCTAACTGGTTTTTTAACTTCTTTATGTGTGTCAATCTAAAAATCATTATTGTTCATGATTTCTTGTTAAGTGATTGATATTATGAAAAAAGCTAATATATCTACATTGTCATTTGATGAAATTCCAGAACCCTGATTATCTGTATTTAGTAAAGATGATTCTGTTACATTATTACTTCTGTTTGTTGTTCCCAAATTATTCTTCTTGCCTTTGATATTGCTCAATTTAATTAATTTTCTAGTAGGACTTTCATTTTTGCAGGAAGTTGAAGATTCACTACTGACTGATTCATTTAAAAACAAACATCTACTAGCATGGCTTTCTATTACTGCAGCTGAAAATTCTTTGGAGCAAATAGGACAAGTGATTTTGTCACTACTCATATTTAAATCTGCAACAAATATATTTGTATTAATACAACGTATGATTGTTACATTGATTAATTAATATGACAATAATTAATAAATATCATTTGTTATAAATTCGAGCTCATTTATAATAATTTTGAAATTATCTATAACTTTTTTTAATTCTTTTACTTTGTAAGACAACTTGTACAAGATTATGTACCGTACGATGCGCAGAATGAATAACGAAAGAGATTTTCGGAGACGATACCGTTATGTTATGTTGTAACTCTCGAACTTGTAGAATGTTAACCTTATCTTAATAGCAATTCATTAATTTTATATATTGAAAGTTCTTTACAATTTACTGTACAATTTAGCAATTTCAATTCTTTGCGGGACAATAAGAAAGACTAAATATCATTTTATCCAGTTTTGAACTTTTTTTAAAGAACAATGTTGTGTTGAAACCAATGGTAGATTGATGACGTTGGTGACGACGCTAAGGTTCGAGTTGGCTTCAAGTAGTGTTCAAAGAAAGTTTCGCGTTTCTCTTTACTTCTTCAGAGCAGTACGATCGAGACTAGATAACATAGATATTGCAATAGCGCTTTAATTACAGTGAACTTGTGCAATGGAACTTATTCGTCGTAAGCGTGGAAGACCTAATATCTTGACTAAACAGTCGCAAGTGCAAAGCGCCAAGTTTGATTATTATGAGCATATTCCTGCCAGTTGTACGAAAAATATTCAACAAACTAAAGTAATAAATTTATTTCAAATTAGAAACATAATACCTGTATTTAACGTAATTTAAAGTTTCCTTTAAAGTATAGTACATTTTATTTATTTGATATCTCTACATAGATATGTAGAGAATATCTATTAGAAAATATTTATTAGAAAACGTTTCATTTCTTTTGTTTGTATTAACGCCGCAGTAGTAATAATTTCTTTATATTTTGTAGAACGATGAACACGAGCCTTCTGACACTTTTGTGAAATGTGAAACGACGGAAACAATGGTAACTGCAAGTATACGAACACGAATTAAAATAAGTTTTGAAATTGATTTAATTTCAATTATTTTATTGATAATGGGAATTTTCACTCGACTTTATCGTTTAGAAGAACCACGCAGCATCGTGTAAGTTATTTTCATCTTTTTTAACAGAACTAGTTAAATATTATTTTATTCGAAATATAAGATTTCCACAAAAATTAGTCTTCTTACTGTTAAATGGTTTTAGGTAACTTGTTTAAAAGTGATTATACTATCGCGCAACAGACGCAAACATTTTAAAATTTTATCTTAAAAATTTAAAATTTTCTCTAAAATATTTTTCTTTTTTCTCTAAAATTAGATTTTTCTAATATTAATTAGATCTAGCATTATTAATTAAAATTGTTGAAAGATTTATTTTAACTACATAATCAGAGATAAGTGTTATCTTATGTTTTTCTAAAACAGATTTGATGAACTACATTATGGAAAGTATGTGGGACTTTATATGAAGAAAACATTTTTTTTCGATTCGCATCCCCCTTTGGGAAAACAGCTTATTTCCGTAGTAACATATTTGGCAGGATTTGATGGTCAATTCAAATTTGATAGAATTGGAAGCCCTTATATGGATAATGTACCTTTGTTCGCGTTGCGATTAGTACCCGCATTATGCGGTAGTTTATTAATTCCAACAACGTATCACTTAATTTTAGAATTGGGTTTAAAACAGTGGACTGCAGCATTAGCAGGGATATTACTATTACTCGGTAATTTATTGCATTTTTACTATGACAAATGATTTATGAGATACTAATTTATTTAATTTGAAACATTCTTATTAATATTTCAGATAATGCTCTTTTAACACAATCTAGATTTATTTTGATGGAAAGTATTCTGATGCAATTCTCATTATTTGGATTAATATGTATTATGAAATTCAGAAAAGTAATGGATCAACCAGCAACTTTATCATGGTGGATATGGCTAAGTTTAGGAATTGCAAACCTAACATGTGCATTATGGTATCTATAACAAAGTTGTTTTAAATCTCGATAACCACTTGTTCTAATAAGTAAATAAATTTTCTGTTTCAGTGTAAAATATGTTGGATTATATTCTTTGATTCTTGCATTGTCCTTAATTGCTTATGATTATTGGACCCTAATATCCAGAAAGACTTTGTCTAGCACTGTGTTGTATATACATCTTATATTGAGAATCGTTGTAGTGTTGAGTGTAATCTGTATCATTTATTTAACTGTATTTTATATTCATTTATCAATACTCTCTAAAGCAGGACCACACGACTCTGTGATGACAAGTGCATTTCAAGCAAGTTTAGAAGGCGGTCTTGCCAGCATTACAAAAGGCCAACCATTAGAAGTGACTCATGGTTCACAAATTACTTTAAGACACACATATGGAAGAGCTTGTTGGCTTCATAGCCATAACCATATGTATCCATTAAGATATCCAGATGGTCGAGGTAGTTCACATCAGCAACAAGTTACATGTTATTCTTTTAAAGATGTCAATAACTGGTGGATTGTGAAAAAGCCAGAAAAAAATGATTTAGTTGTTACTAAACCTCGAGAATCAGTAAAACATGGCGACATAATACAGTTAGTACATGGGATTACAAGTAGAGCATTAAATTCACATGATGTTGCAGCTGCAATGACACCTCAGAGTCAGGAAGTGTCTTGCTACATTGATTATAATGTATCTATGCCGGCTCAAAATCTTTGGAGAGTTGAAATTGCTAACAGAGATACCAATGGGGATGTCTGGCATGCTATCCAAAGTCAAGTGCGTTTAATACATGTAAAATCAGACTATGCATTAAAGTTTAGTGGAAGACAATTACCTGATTGGGGTTTCAATCAACATGAGGTAGTAGCAGACAGATTAATAGATCAGACGGACTCCATATGGAATGTTGAAGAACATAGATACACTAAAAGCGAAGATCAGAAACAGAGAGAAAGAGAATTAATTAATGCTGAAATGATTCCACTGCAAGCTACGAGATTGAGCTTCTGGGAAAAATTTTTGGAATTACAAATAAAAATGTTCTTTAGTGGTCAAGAAGGACAAAATAGCCATATGTATTCCAGTGATCCTTTAGATTGGCCACTGATGTCTAGAGGAATTGCATATTGGGTTTCGAATGAAAGCAATGTGAGTCAAATGTTATTGTATTCATACATACAAGTTAATCAAGTTTGTTATCGTTTGTTATTAACACTCTTCGTTCTTAATATATTCTGTTCATCACAGGCTCAAGTATATCTTTTAGGGAATATAGTAATTTGGTATTCAGCTACAATCTGCATGATTATATATTCCATTCTATTTGTGTTTTATATATTACGAAGAAGAAGAATGTGTTTTGATATTACAAACTCAGAATGGAATAAATTTTCTAATATTGGAAGTATTCTATTAACTGGATATCTGCTACACTTTTTACCATTTATGTTCGTTCAAAGAACTCTTTTCCTTCATCATTATTTACCAGCATTCATTTTTAAGTTATTGCTTACTGCAGCAACAATAGAACATTTATATTATTTAATTGAGTATGTTGAAAACTTATTAAATATGAATCTACTGTAAACTACTTTATTGGAATGCCTTAATTATGTTTTACTCTTACAGAACTCGATATCAGCAAAATATCTTACTCCATACATTAAGAGTCAGTACTCTTGTCTGGATAGTTTTTATTATATATATATTTAAAAAGTTTTCTCCGCTTTGCTATGGAACGACACATCTAAGTGCCAAGGAAATTGTAAATTTGAGATGGCGAGACACATGGGATTTTATTGTTCATAAAACTTAAAGAGATACTCAAATTTAATATAAGTATATATTGATAAGTACAATAAGTAAATATTGATAAGATTATTTGTTTATCTGTATCAAAAAATTTCTTTTAAAGTATGTAAAACATATTGATTACGTCAAACAGTACCACATATTTCTATGATGCTCCATTTTAAACAATTTTTTAGTACAGATCATGTATTCAAAATATTGTACAATATATATGTATATTTATTATTTTCTATATTTATTATAGTTATAAATATATAATTGATATATAAATTTATTATTTTCTTTAAAGTATATACTTTATCATATAGACTGACTCCATTT